ACTTTTATACAACCGGCCCCTGAATTGACAATATTTTGAGAGAAATGCGACTGAAAGTCGGAAAGTTATTTGACATGTATAAAAGTTACGCCGAGAAAACTATATATTTTTCAAATGCTCGTGTATTTGGCCACTTAAAAGGGAAAGAAGGTTTAACTGCAGCAATGAAAACAAGTCACGAATATATTCTCTACCCATTTGTGTCATGCATTTTTCACTGATATAAAATATTGTAAACAAAGTAAAAGTCTGTGTTTAAAAACACTTTTTTCAAGCGTATTATTGTGAAACGACCAGAAAAAATACAATTATAAAAATAGGATACTTTCATTGTCCTTTTAGTAGAAACACGTTGAGTATCAAATCAAAACAGATTCATTTTTATGTGTTTTTGATCGGATCTTCACATGAACCTGTCGTTGTCAGAAGTAACTGAATTTGTCAAAGCCAAAACGCCAGGCTGAAAACTTTTTATTCCAAAGCTTTTCTGCTACCATATTCATGAAAAAAGCATGTAAATTTTTACTGAAACTATACGTCTTTTTTTGTGTGTTTCTTGCCAGTTTTCTCGAGTTTGTCAGTCTCGCCACAGAAGAGAGATAAAGAGAGAGGAAACTCGCGGTAAATTATGTCACGCTCTTATCACCGATATATTAACAATTTAAAATGATATGAATCCACCATACTTTATCCCTTATTGACAAATTTTTGTTATAGAATTGTTTTGGTCGATATAATAAAACTCTTATTGGATTCATCTTCGCCCAATATGGCAAAATATCAAGTCTCGACTTCAATATTAGGCTCGACCGTCGGTCTCGCCCAATATTGAAGTCCCGACCTGATATTTCGCCATATTGTGATATTGGGTTTAGAAGAATCCAATAAGATATAATATAAAGGGGGGGGATTTCCGATGGGGGAATATTTTCCTAAAAAAATTGACAAAACAAAAATTGGGGTGGGCAACTGCCAGACTTTAAATGTGTAACAATTTTACACCTTAGATACAACAACGCTTTGTTCCTGTCTTAAAAGGGAATAGAATTTGTTCGTGCATTATAATATCTATATTATCCATTTGAAACTAACCAAAGCCGGGACATAGGTGTTCATCAGAGTTATCTTTGCAATCTCTGTCTCCGTCGCATCTTGCGTTCCTAGGGATACATACTCCATCACCACAGCGAAATTTACCTTGTGGACATCGTGTTCGATCTTAAAAAAAAAACAACACAAAAAATATCGCTTTTTGTCCAGTCAGATTTTAATCCAGGGGAGAATATAAGATTATAAGGTAAAGTTTTACTATAGCTGATGATCTCGTTAAAAGACGTTGCTAAAGCGTATATGTAGTATGTTAGCAAGCATGACAAACAATTAAAAATAACATAAGAATTACTGCAGTAAGAGTAATGTAAGAACCTTGCCATACCGTTATTATTTTTCAAATACTTTCTGACAACCTTAAAGCCCCATTTACACGACCAATCTTTATGTGACAATTTTTCATATTTTTATGTGACAAATGTATTTGGTCGTGCAGATGAGACAACAAATAATATAATTGTTGATGAACTTGATTCCTATTTAAAAAATATCTATGAACAGCGGTATCTCGCGCAATAAAACATGGCGCGGACACTAATTATACTTTTACAAATATGGCGGGAGAAAAAATATGACATTTTATGTGACGAGTAATCTACACGAGCAATTTTTCGTAAGTGATAACTTTTATTTATCACATACAAGCTAATGCGCTAGCTTTTTAGCAACTGTATTTGCAATAAAAATTGCCCAACTTTCCTCGTCTCGAGCAAATAAAATTGTCACATCAAAATCGTCACGTCAAAATGGACAACTTGCATGTTAGACAAAATTTTAATCTAAGCAGAGAAAAGGGAATCAGACACCACAGTTAAAAAGACTATATTGAAATTAGTAAAATTGCAAAATTTGGTTGCGAAATGTTGTAAAGCTTGGAAAATATATCCTTGCAATGCATATTTTCAGTATATTTGTATTACGAGCGGAAATTGTTATCATTTTCGGCTTAAAAATGGTAACAATTTCCGCACGTAATACAAATATACTGAAAATATGCAAACTTTGTAAAGCTATATTTTCCAAGCTTTACAACATTTCGCAACCAAATTTTGCAGGTTTACTCATTTTAATAAGTTCTTAACGGGAATTTACTTTTTTTTTTGCTTAGATCGGCTAGATCAAAAATTTGTCTAACATGCAAGTTGTCTATTGCTCGTGTAAACGGGGCTTATATATAGGGGCTTCGGTGACGCAGTCATCAGAGCAAGCGCCTTTCACCTCTAAGATCGTGGCTTCCATTTTCGCTATACGGACTCATGTGAAAAGAGTCTGAATCTGAGTCTGACAGGGTGGGTTAAGATAATCACAGTTAAGAAAATAATCACAATTGTTGTAAATATAAATAGTCTAGGCTAAGTAAGTAACATATAAGTAAGCGGAACACTTGATGTAATCGGTCACTGAAAAGCCCCAATGGGGAGTGAGCTGAATAATAATGTAATAATGTAATGTGTGGTCGTGTGGAGGGCGGTTTTCCGAGAGATTAATTTCTCTCAATATTTATGTGATAGTGATTTTAATGGTTACAGAAAAACTGTGCACTGAATTATCTACGAATATTTACAAGAAATGAATAGTTAGTCTAAATAGATTACCTATGGATTAGTTAAAAAGTTTGATCAAAATAGTTTTCTAAAATTCAAATGGGAATACATTAAGAATATATACATTCAAGATTACCTAGATTTTTTATATATTTGAACTGTTAGAAATGACAAGGGAGTTTTTAAAACGATCGGTTCTAGTTCTTGGCACGAAAAGTTTACGGCTTCTTCTTAGGGAATATTGGCATGAGTTCTCCTTTGAAATCAGGTTGTGTAGTTTATGGCTAGTATCAGAATAGGCTGGGAGAAATAGTTTTTTGCACGCTTCCGATCGGCGATCACACAGGGTTTCTAGGTTAGCTAATTTGAGGCCTTCTTCGTATGAAACGCCAGGAAATATTCTTTTAATACATCGTTTTTGAACTCTTTCAATATCCAAATTTAAATATTGCGGTAAGGAATTATGAAAGACAGGTGAGACGTATTCCAGTAACGGGCGAATGCATGAACAATATATTTGAATAATTTCATTTGCAGGAACTCGAGCTCTCTTTAACTGTGTGATTAGATATAGTCGCTTACTGGCCTTGGATACGATGTTATCAACGTGCATTTTCCACTGCTGACTGTAAGACCAAGTATTTTCGCGTGGTTTACGACCTCAATCTCTTTGCCGTTGACTCGGATGGGGTTGAGATGATTTGTTTGAGTTTGCTTCCGCGAAAAATCAATTCTGAGCTCTTTACATTTATCCTCATTGAGTTCGGCCAAATTCGAGCGTGTCCATTCTTGAACTTCGTCAACGGGTTTCTGAATTGAACTTGGCTTTCCTTTATGAATGACTTCAGATAGAGTAGTGTCATCAACATATTTCCAAGGTTTTGTACGGGTTGTTGTTAGATCATTAATCATTAATATATACAGCCAAGGACCCAGTTTTGTCCCTTGCGGCACACCTGAGTGCACTTGACCCCATTCAGAATAACAGTTAGATGTTAACTTTACCCGTTGTTTTCGGTCAATTAGAAAATCAATAATCCAATTGATAGTTGAAGACGGAAGATCGAGAGATTTTAATTTCGTTATCAAACGGTTGTGGTCAAGAAGATCAAACGCCTTTCGAAAGTCGAATAGCACTGTACGAATCGTGTTACCTGGTTCGTCCGTGGCTAGCAGCCATTTATGCATCATTGAGATCAAGGCCAACGTAGTGGATGACTTAGGTACAACACCGTACTGATTGGAGTCGATGACTTTTAGAAATGCTGACTTAAGTTGTCTTTCAAGAATAAATTCTTCGGACAATTTAGACACAACTGGTGTTAAAGAAATAGGACGTAAATGCTTATTAATGTCTGTTACTTGTGTATTTTTAGGAACAGGAGAAATATTTGCCTTTTTCCACGCCGACAGTAGTTTTTCTTGCTTATAAGAACAATTTAAAATAAGGCTCATTGGGATATGCCAAAATTTCTGCAAATTCTTTGTAAACCCAAGGGGGTATACCATCAGGTCCAGGAGATTTGTTTGGGTTGAGAGCTTTCAATTTCGTAAATGTGACAAATTCAGTTACTTGCACCGTATCGGCAGGAATAACCGAAAAAGATGCGGTATATGTTTGATCTAATTGCCGATGTATTTTGACCGACTCATCAAGTGGTTGATACGCTTGTTGCGGCTATAAAAAGGTGTTGTTTATTAAATTTGCTTGGTCGTCGAGGGACATTCGATCGGTGTCATCAACAGCGAGAAGGGATGGAAGGTCTTTATGGTTATTTAATGGTGCATGCATGACCGCAAATTTGTTTGACTTCTCTCCACCAATTCTTTGGTTTGGAATTTTTTAAATGGCTTATTTTGCTTGCATAATAATTCCCCCTACACTTCTTTCGATTGCGATTAACAAGATTCCTATAGTATCTAAATAATGTATCGTTTCCTTGTTGTAAGGCTAGTTGACGTTTCTTTATCTGTGATTTTAATTCACAAGTCATCCATGGTGCGTCATTAGAGTGAACCGTAATTGTTTTTACTGGCATAATGTTATCAAGGCCAATTATAGTATAGTCCTCTAGTAGTTTGGCTTTGTCTTCTACTAAGTCAATGGAGGCAAGTATTGTCCAATCAATCGAGGACAGGTAGCGACCGAGTTGTTCTTTTTTTGATGGTCTTAAATCTCTGCTTACAATTTTTACTGGTTTGTTGTTGCCTTTGGTTTTTGAAATTGGTGAAATAGTGATAGTACAGTGATCGGAAAGGCCAAAGGGAGAAGATTTTAGCGGTTTCTCGTAAAAGGTTGGCATATTTGTGAGGATCACATCTAAAGTGTTCCTGCCTCGCGTGGGAAAGTCCACTAGTTGTTTTAGTCTAAATTGACGTTTAATTCAAGATGGTTTAAGTCACCTGCTAAGATAATTCCACAGTTGGGGATTTCGCTCTCGATAGCCGACAGAGAATTGACTAAATAATCGATCATTGAGGAGTTGTTACTTGGCGGGTGGTATATTGTTTCTACTACAATGCACGGAATCCCCCGTGGGAGCCTTCTTGGGCGTATTTTAATATAAAGTACTTCGACGTTGTCTGATTCAAGGGCGTCTAGCTGAAAACACTGAAATTCTTCGCGAATATAAATACAAACACCACCGTGAGAAGTAAAAGTGCGGTCTTTGCGTACTAATTTATATCCAGGGATATGAATTGCATTGTCGTTAACGGTGTCCTTAAGCCACGTTTCGGTGATGCATGCTAGGTCTAAATTTGAATCCAAAACAAACGAACGAACTTCGTCGACCTTGGGGGCTAATGACATCGCATTAGTTAACATCAAGCTGGGAACAAAATGTTTTTTTCTTTCCTTATCTACCTGATTCGTATCCTCGGCTTGGACCTTTATATAGCTTAGGTTGTTTAAATTGACTCGGCGCTTATAATAACTGCGTCTGACGAGGCTGAAAGGTTGTTGAAATAAAGCACGATTTGTTATTGAGAATGATTGTCGAGTGCTTGAACTTAAATCAGAGGGAAGTCGGTTTCCAATAACTGTTTTAATACTTCGTACCTTGTTGATTCCAGCACGACAAGCACGCTTCGTAGGTTTCTTTACTGCTATATTTAAATCCAGTAATGTTTGCCATGTTGTAGGATCGATTGTTCGACATGCATGAGATTGTATTTTGCGGACCATGGACTTTCATGGACCAAATTTTGCTCAAGAAACGAGACATAGCGCTTAAATTCTGTTTCCAACCAAAGATACTTTATTATAGTGTTGTATATACCCTGAATATCTTCTGAATAAGATTAAAACCAAGGATATTTAAGAAATATAAGGAATGTAGGAGCAGCCACAATAGGGCGCATCCTCTGTCTTCGATTGAAAGGTTCAGATTTGATGAGCAGCCAAACAGTGCATTTGTTTTGCTTCGTACAAAAGATCAGTGGCAATAGATTGCTGGAAATCGTAAAACCTAAGGTAAGTTTGCTTTAAGACTGACGTGTTGTTTGCTTCAAAGAACTTTTTAAAAGGTTTTGCGAAGCGCATCTGGCTGAATTTTCCCGGCATTAAACTAAAGTTTATATTACGCATAATAACATACCTATGGTATGTGTTTTGGAAATTGATAATTTTGTAAATTTAAAGTGATAATTTCAGGCTGTTGCCGTTTTTTTTCGGTTTGAAAAATAATAAAGTGATCGTGTTACCATGACAACTACTTCAAATACTTCACATTTGGAACATACAGTGGTTTTGCTAGCAAGGCGAGGGGTTTCTGAATGTATTTCTAGTAGTATGACAGCAATGTTTCAATATCTGCACAAACTCCTTACATATAAAATATGTCAAGGTGTTATCAAAGAGTTCACCATGCGACTTGTTTTTAACATTCTGACCATTCACAAGCACTGAATCGCAATGCGAAAGTAGCCTTTATGTGCTGACCCTAGACTTCTATAAGCTTATACAAAAGGTCTTTTTTTTCTATATTTTATTATTAATAAAATATTGGAAGAAAGACCTTCCGTATAATCCTATAGAATTAAAAATAATTTAGACTAAGATCAGAGGTGAGGGTTTTAGAAAAATTAAAAAATTTCTTGTCCTTACTTTTACATGGCTTCTCATCATACCCATCTTCGCAGTCTTTATCCCCATCACACACATAGTTCACTGGAATACATTGTCCACCTGGACAATGGAATTGCTTATCATTGCAAACTTTCATACCATCTAAAATATAAACAACAACTTTCTGGTATAAAAATAAAAGGAGCTTTACCAAGCAGGGCGGCGACCGCGCAATTCAAGAAATTCATGATAGCATTGAAAAGAAATAAATTATCTCAAACTCATTAATAATTCATGAGTAAATTAGCCAGCCATATTACTTGATCAGTTTTGCTCACATGATAATGGATAATTAATTCACCTCACTTTAAATAGTGATTTATTCGTATGATACGTCATTCCAAATCCTCCAACAATTCCGATTGGACTAGATTTCAAGTCATTGAATTTTGTCTCAAATTGCACGCACTTGAAGTCTAGTCCAGTCCTCATAGTCGGATTTGTACGGTGGCCCACAAGTGCCACGGCAAAAGCAAATTCATCACGGCAAGAGCAAATTGGGCAAGAGCAAATTGGGTCCACCACCGTAGATTTGAAATATTACAATACATCAAACATACATTGGGAGTTTCGGACGTCGCCCTCGCGTTCCAAACCAGTGATTGTCAGGACTTAGGTTCTGTCTGTTTATGTGACGGGACTGGACGTTTTCGTCCTGCCTAGGGGCGGAATTATATGGACAAAAACCTTGCTGGGATAAAGCCATTAACGTCATATTTTTTCGGAGAAAGCATTTACGTGTGCTCAAAAAGTTCATTTCACCCCATCTAGCTCAACAGAGTTTATATTACGAGCGGGATCTCGGCGACTATCCCGTCCCGCCAAGCTGGGATCATATAAACAGATCCTTAGGATTGCAACGTCACGGTTAGGATAAAGATTGACTACTGATAGGCGTAGGAGTAGGATTATGGTTGGGATTAGGATAAGTGTTACAAAGTTGGGATTAATGTTAGGATTGAAAATAGAATTGCATCGATAGATGAAGCTATGGATACCGATTCAATGTTTTGCTTACCACATCCAGTATCTTCATCTGAATAATCTCCGCAGTCATTGTGAAAGTCACATTTCAGATCAAATGGTATACATCTTCCATTCCTACATGGAAATTCATGAGCTGCACATGACTTCCCAGCTATATTGAAAAAGAACATATAACTATATAAGTTTCACTTGAAAGGGACATATGAAAAAAGACTGTTAACTTTAAAATGTCGTATTTCCCTGAAACACTAAATATTGGAAAGTATTCTTAGGTAGTCCTTTATAACACACAAATGGACTTAAGGTGGCACAATACACTTTTTAGCCAAAGGAGCAAAAGTTGAATATTTTCTGTTTAAATGCTTTTACAGGGTTAAGTTTTACTTATAATTGTAACACATAGTAAGACGTGTCACAAACAAGAAGAATTCTGATAAAAGTCGCGTTTCCATGACAATTATAACGAATAATGGTATAACACTAAATAGCCGAAAATATCGCAGTTTTTCGAGTTTTTTTTCTGAAAAACGAGTTCGGTGACCCCAATTTTTTTTTGTAATAAATCAGTTACGTTAGTGTCGAGAAACATTTCTGGGAAGTTTAAAAAAAAATCTGTCGATTCAATTCTTCAGAATTAAATTTCGACTTTTTGACAGTTTCTGTCGACAATTTTTTTTTATTTTTCCATCATGAAATCTTGAAGTATGTATCTACTCATTTACAAATTTTCAGGGTACCTTACCGAACCCGTTTTGGAAATAATCACGGTTTTATTCCGCGCGGCCAAAGTTTTTTACACTCTGCAAGATCAATGAATTGACATGCGCGTACATGTTTTCGCAGGCGCATCTCCAGAAAAACACGCACAAAAAAAGTTTTTAGTCTCGTCGAAATATCAAATATATATTGTGTTTTCTTCCTTAGAAATGCAAATAGATTTAGTTTTGCATGCTAACTCGGGATAACGTCAAGAAAACAGGTGATTGTCGGTCGTTTGGTATAAGATATGTGTGATATGTATGAACTTTTTGGCTTTTCTACATAGTTTTATATTCGTTTTCAGTCGTAACTTGTGTGTTTTCATGTTGTTGTTGACAAGTTAAAACATAGGTCTCCCGAAAAGGTCTTTTATTTTTAAAAAAAATCCATACAATTTACTTTAAAATGCAATGCTTTGACATGCAATGCTTCAATGTACACTAAAACCTCTATAATTTGTATTACATGAAGTACGTGCAGCATCACAATAGCGGTGTGTCATTATGTAATATATATATCCCCATGGTTGGCAACTAAATACAAATTTAAAACTGTATACACAAACTTTAATGACGAAAAAACTCGTACATATACATCGAAATTCATTAAAAAACTAACTCACTATAGTAAGAAATAACTGTAATTCTTCTACATTGTGTTTTTTTGTTCTCTCATCACTTTTAAACGAGTTAATTTTGCGAAAATTCCGAGGAAAATGGCTCAATTTGGTTAAAACTATGCGGGATCATTAAAGTTTGTGTATACAGTTTTAAATTTGGCCAGGTGATCTCGTGTTCGTATTTTAGCCAATCAGCGCTCAGAAAGGGTTGTCCTAATAGAAATCCATTTTGATGTATTCAGTCAATTATATCTTTCGTTATTTTTTATGAAACTAGTTGAAATTTTGTAATTATGTTTGGTTATGAGAACTATAGGTCTGACAAAAATATGAAATCGAAATAAACTATATTACAGGCGATATTCAGTTGTTTCAATCATAAAATGGATTTCTATTTGACAACTAGTGCCAGTACTTTTCCGCGTATCAAAATCATCTGGCTTGTATTTAGTTGCCAACCTTGGGGATATATATTACATAATGACACTACGCTATTGTGATGCTGCACGTACTTCATGTAATACAAATTATAGAGGTTTTACTGTACATTGAAGCATTGCATGTCAAAGCATTGCATTTTAAAGTAAATTGTATGGATTGTTTTAATAATAATAATAATAATAATAATAACGAATTTATTAAGGCATATCTACATAGTAGCTCTACATCCTTAATACCTAAACTAAGATAAATATATATGTATATATGATATTTGGAAAAATAGTAAAAGGAGATTAATGTATATGAAATAGTTAAGCTAAAAATTGAATCAAATAGCTAAAATGTTATAAATGTTCGATTCGTTCTCGAGCCTTATTCAGAAGGAGAGTTTTGAGTGTGTTCAAAAAGGGTCTGTAATCGTGAACATTTCTCAAATGTGTAGGTAGTTCATTAAAAATCTTCGCACAACAATCCTGAAATGTTCCTGTTTCCAATGGTACCATTAACGATGGGGCATTACTTGATCGAAGTAGTCGATTGTTAGTACGCAGTTCTAATCTCAGGTATTGAGGCCAGGAATGATCCCATATGGACTTGTGCGCGAAACGCATAAGTTCAAATTCGGTTCTTTCATGTATTGGCAGCCATCCCAATGACAACACATCTCCTATGCGACAGTATTTGTTGGTTACAAAGCTTGCGGCTGCGTTTTGGACGCGCTGTAGTTTCTTTAGTTGGGTCGCGGGTAGTGGGTGATAGACGACTATATTATAAAATATTTTTGAAAGTATCAAAGATTCTGCCAACTGTTTTTTGATATGGAATGGTGTAAGATTTCTTAATTTCTTTAAGGTGGAGAGAACTGCGTAACAAGATGAAGTTACGTGTTTTATGTGACATCCCCATTTGAGGTTATCACTAAACCATGTGCCTAAAAGTTTGAATTCTTCAACTTTCTCTAATGTTTGTGCCTTGACTCTGATATCAGGAACAACGGTGTCAAGTCCGTGTACTCTGGACATTTTCGAGGTTGTTATTAACATTTGTTTGGTTTTTGTCTCATTAAGGGCGAGATTTGATTCTACTGCCCAGTTTTCAAGCACAGTCATTGCATCCTGAAGTTTCTTAGCGCATTCATGTATCTTTGAAGGGACGCTATGTCGATACAAGGTCGTATCATCGGCATACTGATAGCATGAGCATTCCAAATCTGGTTCCAAATCGTTTACATACAAATTAAACAGCACAGGCCCCAAAATAGATCCCTGCGGCACTCCAAACTGTACATCAACTACCTGCGATTGTTTCTCATTAATTTGAACATACTGTTTTCTCCCAGTTAAGTAATTCAATACCCAATAGATTGCATCATGAGAGAAACCGACGTTGTGAAGTTTCTTAAACACGGTGGCATACTCGACAGTGTCAAATGCTTTAGAGAAGTCAGCGAAGGCGATGAGCGTAACTTCTCCTTTTTTCATCGCACGAATGATGTCGTCTCTGATTCGCAGTAACACTGAGTTGGTGGAGTGGCCTTTGCGGTATCCTGACATACCACTGTGGAGTATGTTATGGTCTTCTATGTATAAAAGCAACTGTTTGAGAACAAGGTGTTCGTAGATTTTTGATAAGGCTGGCAAAATTGCAATAGGCCTGAAATCATCCGATTCGACAGGGTGGTCAGTTTTAGGTATTGGGGAGACTCGTGCAAGCTTCCAAATTTTTGGAAACGAGTTATTAGAGATGTAATGGTTGATGATGTGAGTCAGTGGTGAAGCAATCCAGTCTGCTGCCAGCTTAATGTATTTAACTGGTATTTGATCCGTCCCGGTTGAGCAATCTGATCGTAGACCTTTTATTTCATTTAAAACCTCCCGAAAGGTTGCTGGACGTAAAGTAAAGGAGTGGTTAGTGTTATCTGGAAAAGTGTTAATCAGATTCCGTAGGTCGTCTGATGATGAAGGGGAAGTTCCCAACAGACGTTGAGAGGTTGTACTAAAATGGTGGTTCAATACATTGGGATCCGCAGAAATTTTTTGTTGACTGGGATGTAAGATGCGATGGATTGTGCGCCAGAGATCTTTGGGTTTTCTCGACGATAGAGCTTTCCGGTAGAAGGATCGTTTTGCTTCCTTGATTCTAGTTTTGATCTTATTTCTGATTCCACGGAATAATTGCCAAATGCTATCTTTCTTTGTGGCATGAGCGAGATGTCGAAGCTTGTTCCTTTCAGATTGTAACTGTTTGATGTCCTCAGCATTTAACCAGGGTGCCGGTGGCCGTGTAATCTTCATCTTTCTCAGTGGGGCGTGTCTGTCTATGCTAGATTTGAACAAACTGTTAAAAATCTCTAGTTTATCGTCTGCTTCATCGGTGCTATACACTATATTCAGTGGTAACGCTGCGACATCTTCAAGGAAGGCATTTCAACAAATTGTCGTTCATTTCTAATAAATTTGAAGCGGGGTTCGAAACGAGTGATTCTCACATTGAGGCAGACGTACTGAGCGTCGTGGTCGCTGATCGTTGGACAAGGCAATACGCCCGTATGCGTCACTCGACTTGGTATGTTACTTATTATGTGATCAATTAATGTTTTAGAGTTTGCCGTTGTCCTTGTTGGTTGCTCTACATGTTGATGAAGATTGAGCGATTCTAGCATGTCAATATATTGTTTTACTTGGGGCTGTTCAGGCCTGAGCAGATCTATATTAAAATCACCGGTGATCACGAGAAGCCCGTCCCACTCTGTGCACAGTTGGCTGATTACGTTTTCACTCTTATCTATCCAAGTTTGAAAATCTTGCATCCGATTTGATCGATACATAACACCTAATAGTAGTTTGCTATTCTTATTTCGGCCACTGATTTCTACCCAGATCTGCTCCAGCTCAGGCTCAATTTTCTCAATGTCGGTCCTACGTTTAAAGTTGATTGAATTCTTTATGTATACACCAACGCCACCGCCGCGAATCTCATCACGATTGCGAAACAAGCTTGTGTAACCTGGTATTGATACATATTGCAGCAGGTGTGGATTATTCTTCATCCATGTTTCACTCATGGCTACCACATCAAAAGGATACTCTCTGATGGTGACTAAGAGTTCATCAAATGTGGAAACCATACTTTGAGTGTTCAGATGCATGAGCTTAAGTTGTTTTGACTTACTAGTAAGGGCCTCTAGATGTTCATCTGTTGAATCCTCAAGCGAGTTATTTACTATGTTATTATCCGTTATAGCATTAAGAAACTCTTCCTGTTGGCAATTGAAAAACGGAAGTGTTGATATTTGACACTTAGTACATAACCAGTTTTGAGGCTTATCAGCACGAGTGTTTCTCAATTCTTTACCCTTAAGATTAGTGCATTTTGCGTGGTACAAAATAAAAATAAAAGACCTTTTTAAAAATAAAAGACCTTTTCGGGAGACCTATGGTTAAAACAGTTTGAGCCGGCGCATGATGCTGTTTCACTGAATTCCTTTGCTGTTAGTAACACTTTGAATACATTTACCAGTTGTAAGTACAAAAAAACTCTGGATATGAACATATAAATCGCCAAATATTGGAGTAAAAAACTTTTCGCCGATCGCCGGTTTTCACAAGAGTTTGAACGTTGAACATTGCATTTTTTACCTTGAAATGTCTTCTAAAAAGACTAGTTATTCAATGTTCAGAGCTAAATCAGGACGAAGTTTGTTCTTTGAGAACAAATAAGAACAAGGAAGACTCAAAACATCAAAATAAACATGATTTGTGGTTCGGATTTTAGACTGAAAAAGTTGTATTTATTTTTGCATATATTTTTAACATTTTCGCGCGAAAACTCAAGATTAGGTACCAGTCCCCCAATGATGAAAAGTGTATGGAGCCACCTAAGAGCTGTCTCTGAGAACTGGCGTCGAAAGGCATGTGTGGTGCAATTGGACACGTATAAACAAGTCTAATTAAGAATATGAGCTGAATTAATCATCAGATTATGGCTGAATTAATCATCAGACTTGGCTGAATTATCATCAGACTTGGCTGAATTAATCATCCAGATTATGTTAAGTGGAAATACAACCAGGCATCTGCTTAGCATTTCAGCTCATTCAGGTTAAAATTAACCTAAAAAATGCCTACGCACGACTCACCTTGTCTTATACATGTGCCATTCTTCAGAGTTATTAGGCCACCAACACATTTGCATTTCCCAGTCTTAGGATCCAACTCCAGGTCATCTCCACACGCACAAACATATTTATTGTTTGGTTTTGGTAAACACAGCTGAGAACAGATTTTACCTGAACATGAACTATTATCTATAACAGAAATACACATCAGACTATAAACATATTGTCATATACATTATGAAGTCTATATAAGGCAGCCACATAATCAATCAACATACGAGCCTAAGGTTGCTCTTTAGTTATGTGTCCTTCACTTACCTATATATATATATATATATATATATATATATATATATATATATATATATATATATATATATATATATATATATATATATATATATATATATATATATATATATATATATATATTCATTAATGAAATATAATGAATGAAATACAATGAATGAAACACAATGAATGAAATATAATGAATGAAATATAATGAAATATAATGAATGAAATACAATGAATGAAATACAATGAAGGAAACACAATGAATGAAATATAATGAATGAAATATAACAAGACGCTCTATGGAACGTTAACTCCCTGGGGCTATAGAACGGACGCACATTACTGTTAAGATCTAAATGCTGATTTCCACTGTTGCGTTTTTCGTACGCACGTACACGCACGAAAAATTTTGAATCCTTTTATTTTTAAATATTTTACAAATAAGTTAACAAATGCATACTAAAACTTGCGGAACAGTAAATTCTGTTGCTTTATTTATTTGGTTATTTTATAAGTAAACGGAATCCGCGTTTTATCCTCATTTGCGGAATCCGCTCCGAAATCCGCGTTTTATCCCAATCAGGGCGCTATAAAACACTGTGTTTTATAGCGCCCTGATCCCAATCCAATAAAACTTCCGGCGTTTATGCCCACAAGTAAAGTTATATTTTATAGTATGCAGTATGTAAGCTAAATATTTCTTCTGTCGGCCGCCAGTTTAAAACGTTCAAAATAAAATATTTGGGGGCTTTCGGGCTCAAAATATTATCAAAATGAAGAGAGAAGTGAGACGAATCCACTGGTATACGGCCGAAAAAGAGAAAACCAATGATGCCAAAGTTATCAAGGATCAAACGTATTGCATTTTTTATAATTTGAGCGATTTCTCAACAAATAATACACTTCGCTTGGCTTGCAAATACAAAGGCCATAAATCGCTAGAATACTGTTGTCAGTTGTTTAGTAATACAGTTGACATCCGTAAGTACAATTTCTCATTCGTAAATACAATTTCTTGCGCTGAATCGAACGGTGGTATTTTTATCCTTGTTGCGCCATTTATAGGCAATACAAATACAATACAAGGTCGCACCATGGATTGTAAAATGACAATGTCAACAATACAATTTCGCTTGATTTTCAAAGGCCATAAATCGCTAGAATACTGGTGTTTAGTAACAGATTTGGCATCCGTAAGTACAATTTCTTACGCTGAATCGAACGGTGGTATTTTTTATCCTTATTGCGCCATTAACAGGCATTACAAAAACAATATCATATTTCACACTGAGTACACTTGAACACTACAGTTTTCACGGACTGTTGTTCGATAATTTTTATATTGATATGACACCAATATGCTTCTCATAAAGTAGTTATTTGTTAAAACTACGTTGTGCAGTTTAAGTTATAACCATTTACCTTGAAATTGTCTTTGGCTCGTTTATATTCAGATTCAGTATTCAGATTCCCTGGTCGTGCACGGGAATTCGAATTTTCAGAGTCGTTCACCAAGAAATACGCATTAAATAAACTAGCAAGAATGTCCAGAGTTAGACACAATGCAAAATGCATAGGAAACAGGTACAATTGGTTCAACATTTTCACGAAATTGTTTGAAACATTTTGCCCGCTGAGGCCCCACTCCACGAAACACGAAAGGCCCCGCCATTTTGAAAAGGATCAAGCAGCTCATTAATATTCTATTTTGTGGCTGTCGACGATTGGAGATTGCCGATCCAAGAACAGAGCCGAAACCTATACTCGTCTGGGGCACAGGTGCCCCAGCGAGTAATGAATGAAATATGAAATATAATGAATGAAATATAATGAATGAAATATGAATGAAATTGAAATATAATGAATGAATAATATTCATCATTCAGTTACGATTCCCGCCTTGTTCAAGAAATCCATGGCTACCAGAAATTCATGGCCACCAGAAATTCATGGCCACCAGAAATTCATGGCTACCAGAAATTCATGGCTACCAGAAATTCATGGCTACCAGAAATTCATGGCCACCAGAAATTCATGGCCACCAGAAATCCATGGCTACCAGAAATTCATGGCCACCAGAAATTCATGGCCACCAGAAATTCATGGCTACCAGAAATTCATGGCCACCAGAGATTCATGGCCACCAGAAATTCATGGCTACCAGAAATTCATGGCACCAGAAATCCATGGCTACCAGAAATTCATGGCTACCAGAAATTCATGGCTACCAGAAATTCATGGCTACCAGAAATTGATGGCCGGCTACCAGAAATTCATGGCTACCAGAAATTCGTGGCTACCAGAATGCTTAACGCGATATTTTTATCTCAAGACAGCATCTTTTTAATTTAAAACCTCTAAATTAATTGTATAAATCCATGAATTAAGAAAAAAACCCTCATTGTTGCTAACTTAGAAGTTGTCGGCTAGTGCTGTGAAAATGCTGGTAACAGCTGGCAGCTATTTTAAACCCTGGTAACCATTTCTTGATAAATGGCATTACCTTTTTCGTGCGTAAACATGTGCAATAGAAGTGCGCGACTAGAAAGGAACCTTTTGCATGCACACAATTAACTTACCAATTTGGCTTCGGCTATAGTACACTTTGATTTCATATCTGCTCTTCGCAATCGAGCCAACAGGTTTTTCAATCAGTGTTTCTGGTTTGCCTTGCAAAGACTTGTGTATCTTATAAACATGTCCAGATTGCCAGTCATCCCAATATATATTTCTATCATCCACAGCAATGGAATATGGATGTAGCAGGATAGTTTGCCATTGAGGATTACTATGATCCGACCT